ACCAAAGGATATACTGGAATTACCTTTAAACAAATTCAAAACATCTGTTAAATCATATTTACTTGAATGACCAGCGCGCATAGCAATAGTTCCTGCACGGGATTTTCATTTCATTTAATTAAACTGGCTTTAAAAAAAATAAGTAATTCAATTGTGATATTGCCAGTTCTTCTCAATTGGATCTATATCCATTCTCAGTTTTGTTTTGCGCGTTTAATATTAGTGAGATCTATTCATATAAGTGTTAAATGATTAATCTATTCAAATTCAACCGCGCCTCGCACTTAGCACTCCATTACATATGAGTGCAACTTAATATTTAATTGTTAGTGGAGACAGTGCGCGCGGAATGTCAATGAACAGACCACCGGCTTCGAACCGCCACTCGCCACTGGAATGCTAATTATTACCACATCACCACCGAGGTCGACATCACCAGAGAGCATTTTCAGAAATTATTCCTTTCGTGGCTGCAATTAAAACTCATCGTTACAGGATTTATTTATTTGCTTTAAATAGGTTATGTTGTTCTTATTTGATGGGCTTATTCTTTATTTTAAAGTAATTTATAACCGCTGTGTGATTCTGATGCATAAGCAAATAGAATTATAAATCGTGCATTCATGTAGGATATTTTATGAACATCAAGATTTTTGTATTAATATTTCTCCCTCCAGTTCAGTTTAGTACACAGATTTAACTTAGAACTGGCAAGAAACTCAACTAAATTTCTTTCTTTCGCTATATTTTTCGATGCAACTCTACTTCAGCCCAAGAGCGGATCCAGCTTTGGCGCCAGGAGGGGGTCACATAGTCGTGGTCAAGTCAAGAACTCATAATTTGATTTTGATAACAATAGATACAAGTAAAAAGTAGGTATTTTAATAATGTTCAAAGTTATTATATTACATTAAATTAATTAAATATTGAAGGTTACAAAAAATCTGTATGGTGTCAAAATATATAAATAAAATCATTATGTTCAATTAGTGGTCCACCTAAGTCCTGGAACCAGCTCAGAACTCAGGGGGGATTATGACCCCCATGACCCTCTCCCACCCCTGGATCCGCCGTTGCTTCAGCCTTACTCAATAAATGGCTACACGACTAATACAATTTTCAATATTTGTTCTGTAGGTCCACAGATTACCTCCTACAACGTAACCCAAATTTAAACATCAATCTGAAGATTTTGTTTAGCAGAAGAGGAAACGCCACTGCACATCATATGTGGTTGTAGCCCTCTCATGCATAAACGAAATATCTCCTTTGGAAAGTATACACTCTATCCTGAGGGGATAAAAACCATCGCTCCTGAGAATATCCTTCAATTCTTGTCCCTTACGGGTCTAGGTAGCGAACCTTAAATAAGGTCAAGCACAATAGATCTATACAGATCGCAGTGTTACAGGCCATAATACAGGCACCTGATTATAGCCCAAACACACCCATAAAAAAAAACAAAATTGAACAAAACCATTGCTAGCAATGTAACATATCAGATTGGCGCGGTCTTCCACAGGGTTCTCCCGGGAAATTATCTTGATAAATTCCTGCTGAATGTATCACGATGAGTTAACTGACCTGGCCTCATGCTCATCTTATTCACATGCACACTTCTATTATTATCCAATTAAATCAAATACTTTGTGTATTTATAAACAACAATAAAAAAACTATCGGGCTGATTCTCCTAATATACAGAACTAATCTGAGAGACAGCAAAGATCACTGCCACGTTTGATCCAAACATACCGGAAGAAATATATAAAACTTTGACAGTGCCACAGACTAAATAGAGCAGATATGGTATGTGATAACAATCTTGATTATTTATATATATATATATATATGTAAAAAGCTACTTACATTCCACTATAGTGATGCCTCACCAAGATAAAACATCACTAAAGATTCCCATATATTTTTATTTACTAGTGACGTGCAACAACTGCGAATTAGCGAAATACCGATACATACCGATACCCGATATACACGAGCACATCCGCCGCAAATAATGAGGACCACACACCGACGGAAGATACCGATCTTTATAAAGATACCATACTGTTGGGACTGCATTGTGCTGCGTACGTGTCACTAATTGTATATAAGATTGCACGCACGGATTCCAAGACAAGCGCCGGTGAATATGGTGCCTTTAACCTTTGTTTAAATATTATTATCGACTATTATTTTAACAAGACAATAACAAATACATTTGTACGCATTATACAAATGAGATATTTACTGATGTAGTAGATTAATAGACCCGAAATACGTGGTCGGATCCAGAGGGCACAAAAAGTAATGATTTTTGACTTAAATTTATTTTCAACACTCGTAAAGTGGGTCTAATTTTGCCGGTTTTCGATATATAAAACAGCTCATAAAAGACGAGTGCATTATAAATGCCAATACTGAAGTTATACTCCATAATTGCACTATTTCCTTTTTTTTATTAAATTTTGAATTGACCGCCCAGGCGGCAACAGCCAATGGGAAGCGCGCTGATTTAAAAAGGATAAAACAGCGGGAAAGTAACACAGTTTTATAATTAAGTTTATATAAAATCAAGTATATTTAACACGTCGTACGATATACCTGCGTATTTAACACACTCAGCTTTATTACACCATCGTCTGCGGCTCGGGCTGAAGTTCCGTCTTGTGTCTTATAAACATCATAAAGCAGTTATTTGTAGGTTTGTGAGTATGGATGCTCTATACTCTTGCACGCAAACTACTGAACGGATTTTGATGAAATTTTACAATAATATAGCTTATGCATTAGAATAACATATAGGTATGGATTTTCGTTACTCTTGCATGCAAACTACTGAACGGATTTTGATGAAACTTTACAGTAATATAGCTTATGCATTAGAATAACATATAGGCTATATTTTTTATTGAAATTTAAGGCAGGTGAAACCGCGGGCACAGTTAGTATACTATAATAAAATAGTACATTTTTCGCAACAGATTGATGACACCATATCTCATAACCGTTCATTCCAATTTCGCAATAACCTAGTAAGCACTAGAATTATGTCTAAACCATAACCGCTAGTATTACCACATGAGTAAATACAGTCCTGTGGTATTACTATCTCATAAATCACGATCGCGACTAAAACAATGGGTTTCAGATACCAATTGCCATGGTACCGATACCGTAATCTTGTCGATAAAGCGATTTAACGCCCACCTCACTGACGCGGTAATTTCCATCAATCATTTTTGAAATTGTGCTCTATTCTTTATATTTAAAAAGAAAGGGAGAGTGTCATGGTCTAGTGATTTACTACCCCGAGTTATTATGATATAAATACTCAAAGCATGCAATAATTGTGTCAGTTTAAATATCCCACTTACTTTCCGAGATTGGGAGTGTTGGCGACCGACCGACGAACTCTTTTGATATTTCTATTATTTTTAAATTTATATTTTTGAAGAGTTCTTATTTATGTGTCATGTTATTTGATATGCTTCAATTTATTGTATCATTCTCTTATTGTCTTTCGTATAGTTCGTAACTATTTTCTAATATATATTATTGTCATACAAACTACGCGTTTTCCTCATTTAGACACCCATACAGTCCACCGATCCATTACAGGGGGGAAGAGGATTAAGTAATGAGGACTGATTACCCCTTGAAATATACTATAGCAGGTTAACCTCTACGCGATTTACCCTGGAAATCAATATAAATTCCTGGTTCCTTTCACTGGTACCCCGCCCTCGTAAACCATTAGCGCTAAGCTAACGAAAACGCTAAAAATACTTTAGTAATGGAAACTGGTGATACCATTCCTAACAGATTATGGTGTCAGGTCGATCTCCACGTGGTTTCCAATGGAAACCATCGTGATGAATTTCTGGTAAATTCACTATGATGATCTAACTCACTTTATGGTTATTTTCATCATACACTGCTTTGACTGCTTAAAAAAAGATGGTCCTTATTTCATATTTACAATCCACCACTGCCCCAAGCGTGTAAAAAAATCAGCCAATATGTTCCAGAACTCGACATAATCTTGGAAAAATGTTGACTATCAAATATTTTACGTCCCATCTCATTCACCAGCAAGTGTCGCCGGTTAAAGCAACATCAAAGGCGTAAATCGAAAACTGCTTTCCCGTCCCATCATTCAGTTGATACAAAACATTCAACAAAAACATCACCAATTCTAATTTGAAGCAATTGCTTAAACACGTCGAGTGCACAGTCATTGCCTCTCAAACACGCCGCTTTCCTGTTCGCCCTGCGACTCCCGGGCAATCAATTCGTAATACACGAGTCAAAGGGGCCGATCATCGAATCAACTGGACAAGCGATGCCGCTCGTGGTTAGGTTGCGAGCTCCCGTTGCGATATTACTCAGTTAGTTCCGTATTAGGTTATATTTAAACTATGAGCAGTTGTGGTATAGTAGTTTAAGAATTAAACCCTAATAAGCAATCATGAATTCGGATCTGATATAAATCTTTGTATAAAATCTATAATAATAATATAAATGAGTAAAGTTTGTGATTTATTTCTGGATCAACTGAACCAATTTTGAAAATTCTTTTAGTGATCAATAGCCAATTTTTTTTAGGAATGGCATGGTGCACCCGCCTACGCTAACGGTTTACGCTGACGGGGCACCAGTGGAGGATCAGGTCAGTTAGCCCATCGTGACAAATTCATCAGAAATTTATCACGATGGTTTCCAGGGGAACCGCGTGGAGGTCAACCTGACATGGTACAATCCCCTTCCCCCAATAGCCCATTTATCGAGCAAGAGTTATATTACGCACAACGACCAATAGGATGCTGCAATAAAATAAATATGTTAAAAAAAAGGCGAAACGCGGGTCAGCTAGTATATACCTACCTGTACTCCTAGGATAATATTTTAAGAAAGATGTTACAAATGTTAATATAACGAACAATGAAATTTATAGGTAAATAATTTATTAAACAAAAAATATAGTAAATTTACACCTTACACTAATATGTATACCTACATAATTAATATAGATAAACGGGAGTTAACACAAATAATTTTATGGTAAATAAAGGTTTTAGTTTTTTAATTTACCCCTCTCGACCTTTCGACTCGTTTACACTAGCCGTGGTCACAAGCTGACTAAAGAAGTACGTTAGACGAGTATTCGAAAAAACCTTCCTAATCAATTGTATCTTTTAATTTCACCCCTTTAGTTTCAGTTAATGTCAGTGTAAATCCAGCAGCTATGAATGGCAAAACAGCAAACACCATAGAAGCTATCCAATGCGGATGTAAATTAACTATAAAAGGTGCTAACATTGCACCAACTTTAGCTCCAGCAGAGCTCACGCCAAAACCCATATTTCTTAATGGAGTAGGAAATAACTCATTAGCCTGGACATAAATAACTGCAAATAAAATAGTTGCTGCTATTAAACCGGCTAATGCGAATACTGTGCTCGCCCAGTGATCATCTGGTATAAAGATCAGGATTGTCATGGAAACTCCGATGGATACAAAAGCGATCAATGATGAAATCTTCCTTCCAAACATCTTGTTAAACATCATGCCTACGAGCGTTGCTGGTATCTGTAATGTAAATGCAAATTGTTAGTTTTTTACCACTTTGTCTTCATAATAGTACTATTTGAGAGTATAACTGGCAATTTGGCACACCGCACGGTTTTACGTCCGACGATCGCAGGCTCGATTCCTTGCACGGTGCGACTACTTGTAGTCATGAATATAATTGTATTGATCTGGGCGTTTTCTATGTATAATATGTATATATTTACAAAAAGTTGTTTTGTACCAGGCGCTGGTTAGCTTGGGACTAAATGACACTATATGCATCATTCAAGATTGTTATTATTATAATTATTATTATAGAATAGTACAGTAAACACTCTACATTAGAGTAGGTAGATGATTATTCTGTTTGTTATTTCAGTTAAGTAAAAAATAAGTAATCAAGTTACACTTATACATCTTAACTAGTGTTGCATAAGAATATTTAGAACATATATATCAAAAATCACAATCATATAAAAAAAAATTTAATCACACAAAGAAGATTAAAAATAATATTTATAGTGTTAAACTAACCTGCACTAAGCCACTGATAACAACTACTAAATATAAATTACTTGTTCCCAATACTGTCACGTATTGATTTATACCAAAGTAAGACACCCCGCCGATTGTCCAAATGATTACGGAATTGACGGTTGTTAAAGCTAATTCCTTTGTTCGGAACAAATCCATAAAAGTAGTTTTAAGTGGTTCCTTTTGTTTGTCTTCGATATCTTTTATACATTTTGTAACGTTTTCTTTGATATCGTCAGTATTTAATTTATTCCTGAAATTTATATAAGAAATATAAACAAATTAACTGAATATAAACGCTTTTGAATAGTCATATTTTTTATTTATCTCACCACTCATTCGGAAGAATAAAAAACTTCTGTATTGCTCTTTTAAATAAGTGTTGTTCAGAATTACATTATTAAGAATTCCGTTTCTAAGTATCGTTTCAGAAAAATACATTACCTATTTTATAGTGTAGACATACAATTTTATAATAAGATACCAAAACATATTCTACAACTACGTTTAAATACATTTAAATAACACCTATCACTCACTAAACAATTACTTAAATGACAAATTTACATGGCAATAGTTCATGCAGGAGATTTTCATTTACTGAGGCACCTAAATGAGTAAACAATATTAAAAAAAAGGCTTTTAAAAAATCTGAGTTTATCGCCAGTTCTTCTTAACGAACGTTTGACGCAATAATGTTTGTTTAACTTCCTAATATGTTATTAATTAAAACACCGGTATAGATTTGACGTATCTGTATTAAAGACTGACTTTACAACAATCATAATTAAAAAAAGTAAATCAATCACCTAACACTAGAGCGCCATCTATGTTGAAATATTGTAACTAATTTTAGCCAAAGCGCAATAAGCGAATAAAATGTCCTGTCGAAAATTTTTGAATATCAATTAATATATTGTTTAAAAATTACTTACAAATTCGCAACAGTCGTCATCAGCTTAATAGCTTTATCACTTTGTCTATTCGCCACCAGCCATCTTGGTGTTTCAGGTAAAAATATTATTGGTATCAATATTAACAATGAAAGTATTGCATAAGAAAGTATGTAGATATTCCAAGTTGAAGCATAGTACGCGCAGATTGCCAAAACTGATTGTGATATTCCATCGCCTAAAATACTGGCACCGCCTGCAAATTCTTTATGTTCCGGTCCGACTACTTCCAATATTATAACTATGGTCGTAGCCATTATTCCACCAGATCCCAGTCCAACAATAAATCTTAAACCGGTAAAACTCCAAATGTCGGTGGTAAAGGAAGACGCTATTGTGAATACAACTGATATAACTCCGCTCAATATAATAGCGATTTGGCGTCCGAATCTGTGAAGGTTGTAAACATGTTATTTTCAAGGACATGTATTGTCAACTAATGCAAATTCTAATTAAAATTAGATAAAGGAGTAACAATTTAATGTAACACCACTGAATTTTATCAAGAAGATGTAGTTTAGAAACGACTAAGGGGAACAAACAAACATTATGTAAAGGAAATATTTAATAAAAACTACGCTAAGGCGTATGGTGAGAGTAAGAATATGAGTTAAAGGAAAGCACCTAGCAGTGGTCCACAGTTCCCGTTAGTTAGACGATTTATATTCATACAATGACGAGGATGTAGAATTTGAAATTAAAAAAATTTACTAATTTGGAACACCAACTTACATTTCCTGAAAAATACAAGCCGTAAAGATACCGTTTAACTTAATGGTAAATGGATATCTTATTACTCACTTCATCTTAGGTCTCGCCATCATTTTCCATCAGGTGAGGTGAAAAAATGCGCAATCAAATTTATAATAAAAAATATATAATAATAGCCTTCAACATATCAACAGAAGCGTACCTAGATAATATTAGGATGACAATATACTCTAATACTCTATACTTCTAAAATATAAGCATTATATATTTTTAATTAGATATAGACACTAAAAACTTACCTATCAGAAATCCATCCTGTTACTGCCACACCAATTAGCACGCCAAACATTAATACTGTCTGCACAAGACTCGCAAGCCAAGATTTCTCACAAATTAAACCAAACTCCGATATTATATTTGATTTAAATACATCATTATAATATTCGTATTCTAAACAACTTTTATAACATGTCGAATCCTCTATTACGTCTGGTTTATCTCTAAATTTAAGACATCTGAATTTTGTGGTAGATGTTAAGAAAAGTATTGATGCTATATTCCATATTAATATAGATCTAGCACTCATAGATATTATGCATATTATTGCTTGCCAAGTACCGAACGCTCCAATGGATTTAACGACGTAATCGACTTCTGAGCTTGTCATATTTGGAGATGATTCCGAGACTACATATTTCTTGATATTGGATTTATATTTCATTGTGCTGTCCACAACAATTCAGATTTTCTTTTATAGTCTGCAGGCTCTGAAATAATAAAAATACATATAAATTTATAGCTGAGTATAAAACACGTAAGCTCCCCAATTCGACTATTTTATTTGATGTCTATTAACACTATACTACACTATACTATACACTTTCTAATAAATCTAATAATTGTATTCATGAGTATGATTATATGTATTGGTCTGGGTATATTCTATGTTCCAAAAAATAAAAGTACAAAAAGTCTGTATATTTATATCAGTAGTCCAGTACATATAACACAAGCTCAGCTTAACTTGGGACTAGATGGCGCTGTGTGAATTGTCCTAGGATATTATTATTATTGTAGATGTATGTTTCTTACAATTACGCATAAACGCCAAGATGGGTTTCAATAGAAGTTGGAATACAGATAGATCACATCCTATATTGACATGTAGTTTCTGTCTGTATTTGCCCGGAAAACATAGCAAAATACAACTTATATTCTCCATCGACAAGATTGGATGAAACATGGATTATATTGTATTAGTACTGGAAAAGTTTCTTCCATAAAACTTTATGAAACAAAGATAAACAGTCATCCAAAAATATCAAAGGTTATCGAAAATAATCAAACGGGGCCGAGACCCCATCGTCATTTACGACTGGCCGTAACACAAGCTATTTCGCCTATAATTTCTGAGTGGCCACGGGGCTGGCCATCGAAGGCAGGTCGTAGGCACTGGCTAAACACCAGAATTACGCCTCTCAGTCCACTTTACTCCAAATTTATGGTCCCCTGGAGCGAGGGACTACCTATTAGCTTGATTTGCCGCTTGTAATTTTGTTCCTGGGAAAATTGTGGAACAAACTCGTGCAGTGTGATCTGCCGATTATAAAGTGCCTATTACAAACTGTTTAGATGGATGGAGTCGCTTGATGAAATCATCTGCGATTTTCAATACTATTATTATGGTAATAAGTGTAATATTACTGTACTAGTAATGATTTATTGTAATAATTACATATTCGTTTATAAATTTAGGTTGTTGATATAAGCCGCATGATACTCCTTCATTCGATGTGTTATTTTTTTATTAGATACTTATGTGTATATTAAATTATATGTTTAAATGTCCAATATTTTATTTGAAATTAATTATATTATTATACTAAACGTATTTATATTTTGCTATTTGTTCTAGTAGTATCATAACGAAGAAACTAACATTTTTCTTATAACATTTTCTATTTCGACAATAATATTTACATATAAATATAAATTATCTAAGTATATATATATGAAAATATACGTATCGATTACATTTAATCATTTTCTTAATTAATCTATAGATTGTTTGAACTAAAAATAATCTAAACTCAAATAAACTTTATATAAACCCTTATAAATTGTACTTTTTGACTGTATTATTATTATATACCAGAGATCTCAAAGAGCTCCGTAACCATAACCGAAACTATCGGATATCCGATATAAAAAAATATCCGTTACCGTAACCGAATCCGAAATAAATGTTTCGAATAATATCGGATAGGGACAGAGCCTAATTGAGACATGTTATGTAACCACTTTATTAGCTACTTGTATTTTACTTTTGAAACTCCTTAAAAAAATAATATAATAAACCGAAATTATCAGAAACTAACAGATAATCCGAAATAATTTCATATCCGCATCCATATCCGTATCCGGTATAATAATCATTCCTATATCCGAAACCTATCCGTACCCGAAATTTCAACCCTTAAGAATATAAACTGAAAATTACCGGTTGCTCGTTTAAACTAATGTTAATCAAGTTATGAATATTAAATCTGTCTAAAGGCTCGAATTCATCTTAATAAAATCCTAATCTTAATAATAATATTATAAAAGCGAAAATTTGTAAGTATGAATATTTGTTAATCTTTCACGTAAAAACTACTAAACTGAGTTGGCAGTACTATAGCTTATGCATCATAATAACATGTATGTGAAACTTGTACATTAAAATAAAAACATGTACGGGCACCGCTCGTATTAAATATATACAGTACTTGAGTAAAATGAAATCAGATATAGTGAGTTATAACAATATACACATATCTTCGCCACAGAGCAAATAATCACGTAACACCTCCAGTCTGTCAACGCAATTTCTATCACTACACTCAAATATTCCACCACTGTGGCGACTACGTACTTTTTATTCCTTATTTAGACGTCAGCCATTACTCACTCGTCAAAAACACAGACACTCGAGTCGATATTGAAAATTCGGAATTTATAATTTATTTTCTTAATTTGCCGCCGGATTCGAAACGATGCGGACGACGGGCCCTTTCTTTTGTCGTCGTAAATTTTTCAAAAGAGTTTTTAATCAGTCTTCAAGCATTTACAAATTAAACAGGGCCGTGTTATGAAGAAATATCGCGGGCTTGATATGTGTGTTTCCACAAACAATCCGAGATTAAGTATACATTCTTTTTATTTGGTTTGCGACTTTGGATGTCCGGAGTTATCTTAGATATTTTTAACGTCATATAGAAGAAGTAGGTAATAATTATTATGATAAAAAATATATTTCTAAAGAAATATCGACTTACGATTACTCAATGAAAATTATTAAACTCGTTTATGCATTATTTTAAACTAGCTACTCGCCCCGGCTTCGCCCGGGTATACATGTAAACCCGGTTATACATATAAACCTTCCTCTTGAATCACTCTATCTATTAAAGAAACCGCTTCAAAATCCGTTGCTTAGTTTGAAAGATTTAGGCATACATAGGGACGGACAGATAGCGACAGCGACTTTGTTTTATACTATGTAATGATAAATAAAAATATTATTTATATAAAACAATTTATTTATTTAGTTCATTGAATGGGGTATTAATAAATAAATAATTTTACAAGGAACCCCTTTGCCGACTTACATCAACAGTTACCTTCCTCGCTCATATTTCTCTCCCTGCCCAACCAAACCTGGCAGGAGACTGCTAATGCAGCTTTTGATACACTTTCTAAACATTCACCTAATTAATAAAAATTACTATAATTTGCGAGCAGCGCAGGACTGATCGTCGTGGAGATCTTTGGGGGAGGCCTATGTCCAGCAGTGGACGTCTTCCGGGCTGCGAAGATGATGATGGCTATAATTTGCACACGCTGATCAATGTATTCATCCCAAACCTTTTAATAATTTGGATAATTATGTATTACTAGCTGTGCCCGCGGTTGCACCCGCCAGAATTTTATAGCCTATGTTATTCTGATGTCTAAGCTACATAGTTTATACATCAGTATAACATTTAGGCTGTAAAGTTTCATCAAAATCAGTTCAGTAGTTTTTGTGTGAAAGAGCAATTAATATGCATCCATTCTCACAAACTTTTGCGTTTATAATATTAATAAGATTTATTATAATGATGTACAATTTCATTTAAAAAAAGTGAAAAAAAGTCTCTTATCAGTCCTTCTTGGCTCGACATACTTTCAGAACTGATGTTAGATTTGATTATCATAAGTATCTATAATAACTTCTACGTAGGAAAGATGACTTTATTTGGTAGACAAATAGTCCAAGTGCAAAATATTCCATTAAAAAAATAAATATCGTGCCGTAACAGACAATGGAAATGCGCAACAAACAAGAAATATAACCGGCAAGGATCTCTCCGCAAAAAGCTCGCAAATTTCCTCATCAATTATCATTATTAGGGAGCGAAGGCGAGCTGAGACGCGAGTAATTGAGTTTTATAAATGGCGACGGGTGCCGTCGACGCGTCTGTCATAAATAGCGGGGCGCGGCGCGGCGCTGACGTGACGCGTCCACAGATAATGGAAACAGACAACGCTCCACTGATAATGCCATTATGAACGTTATACGACTGTTTATAATAACTATTAACTTTTTAATTATCCTAATTAAATATAATAAATAGATTTGTTATTGTTTGTGAACGACGTGGATTAGTTATTTGTTAAGCTATTTGAACTGGAAGGTCGTGAGTTTGAATCTGAACGACATTATTTTTTACGTCAATTTATAATTTATATTACTCACTAACTTTCTGGTGATGGTAATATCGATAACATACTACTTGGCGGTAGGATTATATTTGACAGTTTTGTTTTTGTGATGGATGATGATGGAATGGTGCTTCCGCATGTGCAAACGGTTTACGTTGGGGGAATACCTGTGGAAGATGATAAGATGAGCATGAGGAGGTTTTTTGGACTGTTGATTAAATATGCTCTTCCAGGGGGTAAAAACAAATGCTATCTAATCTATCTACATTCTATTTAGCTGCAATTTTATTGCATTATCGATAAGATCATTTGACAAATATGTATTTATCTAAGAAAGAAAGTAAAAATATTTATTCGGTGTTTCTCAGTTACAATATAAACTAATCCAAACAAAAAACAAGATAAAATAAAATGTAAATATTATTAAACTTAATGTGTATATAGATAATGAAAAATATTGTATGTATAGAGGAATTAGCTGCAATTTTATTGCTTTAGTCATTGTTCTCAAGTTGACAGCCACGGACGTCACTCGCAGCTTCCGTGAGAGAATGTCACTCGTAAATCATTCAATTTGCTTATGTACCTACTGGTACTCGTATACAAGTGTTGTAGAGGTCGTTTGTCACACAGCACCCATTAATTCTGCTCTGCATTTAGGCATTGCATCCGTTTTGTATGTTACTTTATAGCAGAATACCTGGCCAATTTGCTTCGTTCAGCATTTTGTTGTAAAATTGTATTTTTCAGAGAATTTTTGTATGAATAGAGTTTGAATTCGAATTTTAAATTAGTCTGTGCAACATTATAATTATAATAATATTTATTGCAGTTAAAGGTTGTGTTACATAATTAAGTTGGACATAAGAGTCAATAATTTTAACATACAAGTGTAATTGTGCCATCTGAACTAGTATAAAATTATACTGTATCTCAGATGTCACATACCTTCCCAGGGTGCATATTATTTCATTTATTAACATTTACTTTTACACAGCACAAAATCATACATACTACTTAACATAACATTTCTTCTAACTTATAAGTAATTCGATAAGTCGTAATATGACAATTCCTTACGAATATTATAAATACGAAAGTTACTCTGTCTGTCACGCTAACACGCCAAAACTACTGAACCGATTTGGTACACAGATCGTCTAGACCCTAAGAAAGGACATAGACTACTTTTTAATGCGAAGAAAGAGTTATTAGGGATTGAAAGAGAAGATGAAAGGTTGTATGGAAGTATCGTCAAATTTAAAGCGTGAAACTTTTATTGCTTTAGTTTAGTTGCTTCCGTAGGAGAATATTACTCGTAAATCATTCAAATTGTTTATGTACCTACTGATAATCATATACAAGTGTTGTAGAGGTCATCTGTCATACTGCATCCATTAATTCTGATCTGCAATTTTGGCAGTGCATCAGTTCTGTATGTTACTTTATAGCAGAATACCTGGCCAATTTTGCTTCGTTGATCTTTTTTTTTTTTGTACAGTTGCATCTTTTAGAGAACATAATAATCCAGAAAGGTTATTGTTTTGTAGTATTATCGAGATATTTCGTATAGTTGTATTTTTGTAGAAATCTTTTAATGAGTTTGCATACTTTTTTATATATTTTTTAATCTGTTAAAAATCTTTATTAGAATTAAATCTGTATAGTATACAAAAAATACTAAAATTCGTAATAAAAAATACAGTATCTGAACTACAAAACTATATGGATAGCTCGTCACCATAGTAATATTGTCTTTAGGAATTACACCAATATAAAGATGATAAATATTATTTGTAAATTTAATAAATTATAAAGTGAACCCTTATCTAAATACAACATTGAGACAAATCGTTAGTGCAGTTTACAAGATACACACAATGTATACATATACTTACAAATGCTTTGTTTGTTTGTACACAAAAAAAATCAAGCTACTCGCCCCGGCTTCGCCCGGGTGTACATGTATTATACATGTAAATCTTCCTCTTGAATCACTATTTAAAAAAATCGCTTCAAAATCCGTTGCGTACGTATAAAGATTTAAGCATACATAGGGATGGACAGACAGCGACAGCGACTTTGTTTTATACTATGAGTGATGATACAATGAACCTAAATGAATTCGAACAATGACGAACTTGTTAACGGTCCTAAATAGTAGGATTTCGTCCAGTCAGCCTTTGAAAGACTGAGAGGACTTGCGGAATGTTGGAAACAGGTTCAATGAAGTAAATATAGTTAGTGAACCATAAAACTATCATTATATATACAGAATCCAAACATAACAAAAACAGACATTTAGTTTTCAAATAACTGTTGGAAATCTGACTAAAACTGTATAAAACCGCAAAGAACTGAATATATCCAGACAAATATTAATGTGCAATAAATCCACGTCGTTAGAGATGATAGTACACGATGCGTAAACAAAACAATACACAAGTACTACCGATTAATGTAATAACTCTCCACTATCTCGGCCGTTTCCTTTGAAATCTTCCAAGTTGGACGGCATTCATAAATCTTCTTTAACGTGCGCCACGAATCGTCACCGCTCACCCAATAGTATAGAGGTGACTTGAGGCGTCATGATTATTTAACTACATTTGAAGAATAGAATATCAACTAACTACTAAACTAACTTAATTTAAGCACTTTTGAATAGTCATAAATTTTTTTTTTTAATCTACCGTTCATTCGGAAAGCTCATCACAAAAAGAACGAGCAAGAAACTTGTGTGTTGCTGTTTTAAATAATCCTTATAAGTTCACATTTTAAAATTCGAAACCTATGAATACAAACTACCAACCAGCACTAATTTATTAGGATCAAATATAAAAACACAATAAGATTAAATCAGTCGTAGTGATAAGAGCAAACGAGCAGTACTTGTTCACAAGTATGACGGATGAGCCAGTCATCGACCATATTTTAGGTCGTTTGTCAAAAATTAACATCAATACTAGTATTATAAATGTAAAAATGTCTATCTGTCTCAATGTTTGTTTGTTACCTCTTCAGGATGAATCAACGAATCTATTGTAGCACTGGAATATAAATTGCAATTTTTCAAATTCAAAATATCTTTATTCATGCAGGTCTATTACAGACTCTTATGATATGTCAAATCTACAGTCAGTTCGGAATGAGTATTCTTCTCAAATTAATGTTATGCAATATATACGTTTTGCCAGTTTTATTTGGTACGAAATAGAAATAGAAATAATATTTATTCGAGTAAACTCAATATTGTATTGAGTATATTTGAATAATTGTATATTACTTTTGAAGTCATACTTTTTTTATTCTACCGCTCATTCGGAATGCAGATTCATCATAAGAAAAATGGGCAAGAAACTCATTCTTAATGCTGTTTTTAGCATTAGATAGAGTAATTCAAGGGGAGGTTTATATGTATTATACATGTACACCCGGGCGAAACCATGGCGGGTAGATAAGTTATAACTAAATTGTATGGTTGCTGGCTATTCACCATTGTTAATACAATTTTTTTCATAAATATTTGTATTATTTTAATACCTTTTTTATATGTCACTTTTGACTTCTTTGTAAGCCCTCTTAGAAAATATACATACACATATTCCAGCTTTTAATTAGATATTTGTAGTGTAATTGATCCCGCTCCAGTCACAAATATAATTCGTGCCTCCTTCAACGTCATTTTATCAAACGCGCGACATCCCCTCACAATAATCGTTAATTTTAACGTTTGAAACAATAACAGTTAAATTTACAACGTTATAACCATTAAACGGAAGGACAAGGTGTCTTGTGAGCAGTAAATCGTAGACCAGACCGTCCGATAACAGGCCACGACGTTATAATTGTGACAAGTAACTGTTATTGACCATATTTATAGCTGTTACCGACGTGTAACCGATTATTATTTAGTGCTGTGTAAATAGAAACAGTAAATAGTATTACTATATGTTTAGTTATGTGGAAAATCACTGCAGCTCCAATGGGATGGTTTGTCAATTTGTAAGTAATAATAATAATAATAACGGTTGGGATTCCGGGGCGGCTCACTCCCGGGAAAGATGCAGAAAGCGGTGCTGTTAGATTCTGCCCGCATTGTACGCCGGTTTCTCTCCCTGGGGCCTGAACCCCGGCCGACTGTGCTTCTGCCGGGGGTATGTTGCTATCTCCTTTCCTTAAGAGGGGAGATGAGAATATTTGGAAAAAAAAATAATAATAATAATCTCAGGACAATTCACACAACGCCATCTAGACCCAAGGTAAGCTAGCTAAAGCTTGTGTTATGGATACTACATAACTGATACAAATACATAGATATTTTTTTTCGTGAATACATACATATTATACATAGAAAACACCCAGACCGATACAAACAATCATAGTCATGAATACAAATGGTTGTCCCATGCGTGGAATCGAACCCGCGACCATCGGTTGTAAAGCGGTGTGCTAAACCGCTACACCACCGAGGTCGTCAAATAATTAATAATCTTATGATGACTTCACATAATAATTGATTCGTAATTAATATAAGTAAAAGGTTTAATTCTAAAAAAAAAGGCTAGTGCAATAGATACTTGTAGGTCGCAGTGCTACAGGTCTAAACAAAGCCCAAAACTTATTAATATTATCAAAGCGAAAGTTTGTGAATATGAATGGATGATAGATGGATGAATATTTGTTGCTCCTTCATGCAAAAACTACTGAACGGATTTGGATAAAACTTTACAGTAATATAGCTCATAGTTCAGAATAACACATGGCTATAAATTTTATCAGAATACGAGCTGAGTTTCTGGTCAGTTCTTGTCATCTCTAAATCACTCCAAACTGACGGTAGATTTAACATATCATAAGAGTCTGTAATAGACCTACATGAATAAAGATTTGAATTATGACTTATTATTTATAAAAAAAAATCTAACATATTTATTATTATATAATATATTTATTAATTGAAGTAGATTTTCTTTATTATACTTACAGATTTCTAAGATGTTTCATTCCATTCGTTTATTAATAATTGGTATATTAAAAACAAATCGCCAACAAAGCGTAACATCAAAAGATCAGAAACTCAATTTGTTAGTATTAATAAATCAAGCAAATGAATTCGTAACAGACAAACGGATATTAAATATGAAACATCAAACGCTAATTAAACTACGCGATGATATTTGAAGAGGAGAAAAAAACATTTATGACAATGAAAAATTGCCCGTCGGGTTTCGGGATATTCAATGAAATTAATTCTTAAGGGTGAACAATTTGTCTCGGCCGGGCAAGATTAAGAGCGCTCGTGAAAAAAGTGGCGGCCGGGCATTCGCTTCAATTAGGGTTGCCATCTCTAAAATTTGGTAAACAGGACAATACATGCATTGCATGAATATTATTGAATATGTCTTATTATGTGGGTGGATCGAAAATAAAGCAGTTTTTAACAAGCTATCTCATAGTTTACATCATGGTGACAGCGGTGGGATACGAACCCACGCCCTTTCGGACTGGTGGCTAAAACTACACCACCGAAACACCGGATTTTAGAGCCCAGAACCCGGATATGCCAACAGGTTTTTTTAAACATAGTCAGTGTAATAAATAACAGCTAAGAATGTCATAAATCACCTTTTTATTTATATTCCTGACCTTAAATTTAAAAGTAGTAATTTTTAATCATCAATTTAAATGTACTTAATAAAATAGAAGCAGTCCGAATTAATTGTTCCAAAAATATCACACAAATCAACACTCTAAACTAGGACAAATCCGTGGAAACCCGCCCGGATGGCAACCCTAGCTTTAATAGCTTAACTTTTCATCTGGCAAACAAATTAACAAGGGTGCTGCCTCTTAATGCAAATAAACACTGATTAATTGGCCACATTATTTTTAAGGCTTCACGGTTTCTGTCTAATGCTTGAACGGAATGACAGTACTGATGAGGGACATTGTCTTAAGATGAATGCTGCGTTTTGATGTATTATTTTGTTACGTTACGGTATACTCGTGGAACAGTACTTGTAGAAAAAACTCTGTGGATTTATTCGTGAACAGGTGTTGTTCTGCTCTAATCACTATATAATATATTACAATATGGTATGATACGATACGATACGGTACGACACGATACGACACGACACGACACGATACGGTACGGTACGGTACGATACGATACGATACAATACGGTACTATACGATACGATACGGTACGATACGAAACGATACGACACGACACGACACGACCTGGTACGGTATGGTACGATACGATACGATACGATGTGATATGATATGATATCATGTGATGACAAGTTAATGCTGGCTAAAGCTTGTGTTATGGGTACTATTATAGATAACTAATACAAATACATAGATATTTTTATTGTAAAAACATATTATACTTAAAAAAGCCCCAGACTGATACAAAGAATCATACTTATGAATATAAATATTTGTACCTTACAAGGAATCGGAAATAAGTTCTGTCAAAATCGTTCTAGCCGATTCAGAGATAAGAACAAACAGACAGACAAAAAATATTTTTTTAAGTGCCACATATTCTTTCTGTTATAAAAAGCTGGTACTTTGAAATTACAAACAGACACTTCCATTCATTTGTATAGATGTTAAATGAGAAATAATTCTTACAGTAATTTGAAACAAGGGCTAAGAATTTAAAAAGAAACAACCACATTATCACAAAACATAAAGGCAACACGAAAACCTCGTAAAATTATAGCGACTATTACAGTCTCGTCATAAATCACTCCATATCATAATATTCTAAATACAACGATAAGGGGCACGAGAAAAACTATTTTATTCGTTCTGTCAGCGACACCGTAAATTATTGGCGCGATAGTCGACATAAAGTTCACGCCGATAACTTGTTACTATGATAAGCAGAGATTTACGAGCGCTGAAACTTCGATAACGTAACTATTACACAATAATAATATTCAATGTCTGATATTTAGAGACAAGTTTATACTAATTAAATTGTAGGTAATATACATCAACTCGTTGAAAAGAAATAAGTGCTGTTAACTTACAATAGGTCATGTTTTATACACTTCTCTTTTGCCCCTCCGATCGATCCCCCGTCCAATTCAAACGGGGATCGAAATTACGACGACCTGAACCGAAATTAGAACCCCTAGTGGTGCCCTCAGACTAAAGTCGTATCCGTCAGGCGGGAGTTAGTCTCCAGCCGCTCCATAAGTCCTTCCGCGGGTTTGTAGTGCCATCTGCACTCGCCCCCTATCGTCCGGTGAAGCTGTAAAGGCCAGCGGCCAACAGAGTAGAGTAGTCCGAAGTAATAAAAAAAACTCTTCTCTTTTTAGTTATGAAACACATTTTTTATATCATTATTATTTTTATTTTAGTCAGTTTCAATCTTTAAATATTACATAGATATCGTTTAAGGAGTAACACATTTTAAACATAAAATCCCTTGTCTCAACAACTAATACCATACAACTTCGCTTGCCAAATCGTTTACAGAATAATAAGATTTTATTCAATATGTATTTCTTAATATTTTTTTTAAATTCATATCTTGCTAGATCCAAAATATCTTTTGGTATTATACTGTATAATTTAATGCCCATTCCCATAAAAGACCTATTAACTTAAATAAACAAAATTTGGGAACTGTAATTTTATATTTGTATCTAGTGTTAAAGTTATTAATTTATATTAAACTAGCTACACAGGTGTGTACAGGTATTATACATATAAACTTTCCTCTGGGATCGCTTGTTTTGTTTCTATTGCAAAAAACTGCATAAATCCGTTGCGTTGTTTAAAAGATTTAAGCGTAGATTAACAAACAGCGGTAGCGACTTCATTTTATACTAATTAAAGATTATTAATTTCACTGTCATACTCTTCAGACTAAAATAAAGATTAGCGGCTACTGTGTGGGTACATTTAACCAACCTCTTTCAGCCGGCAAGCTGTTAAAAATCACACAATCCAGACGTAACTTTCCCTAAAAGTGCTAATCTATTTTCATTAAAAAGCGACATTTTAATTAAAAACACTCTTTTGTCTCGTCAAGCGAAAGAAAGTGCGTCGGCGTCAGAATAAATTCCGGCCGGTGTAATATTTCAGCGAGTATATTTGTGCGCCATAACTAGGGTTGCCATCTCTACAATTTGGAAACCAGGACAAGACGCGTGAAAACCCCGAATTTTGAGTCCAGAATCCGGACATGATATGTCCGGATTCTGGACTCAAAATTCGGGGTTTTCAGGTTTTTTTAAACATAGTCAGCGTAATAAAAAACAGTTGAAAATGTCATAAATCACCTTTTTCATTATTTTTCTAACCTTAAAATTAAATGTAGTAATTTTTATCGTCATTTTAAATGTACGTAACAAAACGGAATCTTATTACAGTTTGTTGCAGATTATTTTCATAATCAGTTCGATTTATTTTCTTAAAATGAAACATCTAGCATACTTTAGTATTAAACCTAAAAAATTACATTACCTCCCCGGATGCCGTCTAAACTGCTTTTAAAGTAGACTGTCCCATTCTAAGACACTGGGTGGGACAGGTAATATGTTAAAAGTTACATTTTTATTTTATTATATATTTTATTACTAACATAGGATAAGTTATGTCATTAAGCTGTTACTAACACAATGGATCATGTTGTCTGAAATAAAAATTATTATTATTATTATAAACTAGGACAAATCCGAGAAAACCCGGACGGATGGCAACCCTAGCCATAACTCATGAATATCTCGGCGGGGGCGGGCCATTTAACGTGAGTAACGACCCGCCGCGACAGATTTCATAAAAGTAAGACCCGCGTGCTCTCCGCTGCTTTATTGCTAATGATATCTCTTACGGTTCGTGTTTTTTTCGAAATGGATATCATACAACTTCATATAATCCTAAACTAAGCAGATATTATCATAATTTAGTCTAGCTATCGTAACTTTGTACAAAGTTGTCTTCATTGGTACCTATTTATGTATTGA